TTAGACACAGCCTATTACTTGGGATGCATGCCTCTGTTACCCTCAGGTCCCTTTCAAAGTAGGAGCTATAGTTTTAGAGCACAGTGGATATGTCTACATGTTCATTAGTGCACCTTAGATACTGCTCATTTAGTTTAGTACTTGCTTAATAAAGTACTAACTAAACTTGCAGTAACTAGAGTTCCTGTACAGTAGCATCAGCTCGTGGTTATTTTGTGATACCTACTGCGCATTAGCCTAGTAACACCGCACGGTAGGCTATTAGCCTGGTTTTTAACCACCCTGCTACAGCGCAGTGTTATTAAGCTCATATGCAGTAAGCATCTCATATAGGTGCACCCAGTAAATAGGAATAAGCACTGGCTAGGTAGAAGGCTCCCTGGTGACAAACTCATGACAGTCAATGGAAGCTGCAAGTACTGTGCACCCTGGAAAATGACACCCACAGTGACTATCCAGAAAACATCAGTCTGAAATCTCTTTGGATTTATTAGGAGGAAATATTGTCCAGGACAAAGTTTAAATATACTCTCCTTTGAATGCTCGATATTAATATTGTTTATAAGTCTGTCTTTGTGGTAAATCCAATTATGAACTCATCAAAATCTTGAGTATTTAGAAAGAAGGATAAATTATACAGCCATGTGGAAGAAATTAGCAGCTTCTGTGAAAGCAGTCTTTATATATAGTCTTAATCGGCTGCCTCTCAGCTCAGCCGGTATAATAGACTTGAGAGGAACAATAAGCTGCAGGATTGCTGTAAAAATAAATCACACTTACAATGACACAAATGACTGATAAATATTGAGCTGAATTTTTGGAGACAAGTATGATGTCTGTACCAGGACTGGAGGGGAAGATTTTAAGCTGGGTTCTTACCTAGGCTCCTTGTTTTCCCTTGCAGAACTGCACACATGCACATGCATTTGCCAGCAAACACCTGTTAAAAGTTCAGTTTTTCACTTCTCCCATTGACTAGCTCAGCCCTTCGGTTTGTGCATGCATTTGTACTTCTACAGGTTTTAGGCCAGATGAAGGGTGCACCATAATTATCCATGTACATACAGGAAATTCTCAATGCATTTTTTTTTTTTTTTTATGGTGCAAGTAAAAGCCAAGACCTGAATGTATAAAATAGCATTTCCTTGCTTTTTGCCCAGCCCTGAATGGTGTTCAGGGAAAGAAAGTCACAAGTACTCAGTGCCTCTTGGGATCAAGGTCTTTGTCAGAGAAAAGTTCAAATCCAGCTAAGCCAGCTGTTAAGTAGATGAACAGCATCCTCCTGAGACCCTTCTAGTAGGGCTGGATGGATTTGGAGGCATCTGAATATAGGTTATGAACTCGCGGGTCACCAAATCCGAGTTGCTGCTCACCTGGGTTGGTCACAGAAATGTTTCATCCTTTCCAGCTGTCTCTTTCTGGGGAAGAACTCGTGCATCATTGCTTCTTCAGATCCTGCTGCTTGTAGCAAACTTCCAGAAATGGGCTCATGACTTGTTCTACATTCCTTTAACACATGTTGGTGACATGGATGTGTTACATAGCACTTTTCCATAAAAGATCCCTTTTTATAGGTGTTCTTTCTTCTGTCTTTATTGCACTGGCCTGCAGGGGCTAAAAGCCTGCAACATCATGAATGCAGTCGAGGCATTTGGTGGCCACTACTGCAGCTTTGTCATTGCAGGGAGAGCTGAGGTTCGTGCGTGTGAATAGCACTTTGTGCACACAGGGCTCTGTCATGGATTTCTAAATAGCCACTCAAGGGTGCAAGTGCAGGGCCCTGTGCGGACGCAGCATTTTTGTCATTTCTAATGCCATAACACTTTGTCTGTTCTGCAGCAAGGGAGTAAGACTTTCTGGGGGTTTTTAAAGGCATTCGATGTTATTCAGTGGAATCCTCTCTGCAGGTGGAATTTTTAAGGCTCCAGGGCTGTAGTGTGCCTGCACTTGAACATTTGGCCATTTATTTGGAAACAGACATGGGCAAGCTCCAGCTCATTCATCCAAGCTGTCCTTTGTCAAGGACAAGGAGTAAGGCCAGCACAGCTGAAACACTGGAGCCAGCTCCTGAATGTTTCCAAATAAAGTGCCTTGAGTAAGTTTATTTTTCCTGCTTCAGCCTAAATTTAGCATCTTGGAGAAGCTCCTTTGGCAGCGAGTGGATGGTAACGATGACAAGATTGATCTGTGGATAGTTCTGGGAAGATTTGGAAAGTCCTGGTAAAACAGAGTTGATTTCATTCATGTCTGTATTTTGTCCACAGCCCAAAGGTCTGCTCACGAACTTCCAATGGTTGAAAGACAAGATATCGATAGCTGCCTGGTTTATGGTGGGCAGCAGATGATCCTGACTGGTCAGAACTTCACAACAGAGTCGAAGGTTATATTCACAGAGAAGACCCCAGGTAAAGTTCCTTTTAACACATAGCCGAATGTATGGAATTGAGCCCAATCCGGAAAGTACTTACACACTCGAGTAATTCTACTCAAGTGAGTAAGGCTACCTAATTGAATGGGCTAATTATATAAGTAAAGTTACTTAATGAAGTATATGTCTCCCTTACCTTTTCATGCTTCAGTGAAATGTATATTAAGGAATTGCTGCTATAGGTGGATCATAGAAGTACAAAGAAACCATGATGTAGCAAAAATAAGAAACCTTTTCAAGAACTGGTGGATGATGTTTCAGAATAGTATTCCAAGTCTGCAACATTGTTTTAAATGTCTTTTTTAGCAAAATACTGCATAGAAATCATGCATGAAACAAACCTTTTCTATTGCAAATGATCTGCAAAATCAGTTGTTTATTTCAAACATGTCCAGTTTTTTCCATATAGTGTGCATATTTTGTACAAATTATTGATAATTACACAACTGATTTTATTTAATACAAATGATTTTTACACAAATCCAAAGACAGTTTCAGTTCTTTCACACTGTTGCAGATATTACACATATCTATCATTTCCTCCTTGAAAGAACAGTTTTAAAAGAAAAAAAAAATCATATTTTCTGCATTCTTAATGGGAAAATGGCTCTTCTGGAGATGACGACATTTCAAGATGGTGAAACACCCTGAAATGGAAAATAGTTTAAAGTAAAAATTACTCCCTGATTTTGTGTCACTCTAATTAGCACCCTGCCAAGCCAATCCTACTCTTTTATCAAATCATTCTGTATGATATGAACTAAGAGACTGATTCTATAGGATATTGTCTCTAGGGAGATCCTGAGCACCTTTAACTCTCAGCAGCTGCTCAGCACATGAAGGATTTGCCCTAATTTTACCACGCCTCCCTAAAATTGTCAGTGAAATTTCCAGGTATATTTTGTACTCCTAAAACGCACATCTGCATGCATAGGATATGCACTGCACATACACCCATATGCGCACATGCACATGTTTGCATATGCATGCTCAGAATGGATTATTTCACAAATATTGCCATCACAAGTAAAGTGCACCTCGTTTTACTGTGCAGTCCTGAGTTGGGGATTGTGTGTATAAATGCATTCTTCTACAGTTACCAGATTCCTGTGTATGAGCATGATGCATGTAGATGAAAAATAGACTTGCAAGGGAACGTCTAAAATATTCCAGAATCTGTACCCAAGTGAGGAATTAGCAGAAGAACAGGTGGACTCTTAAATGGCTGTAGCAAGAAGAAAATAAACTACCATCCCTCCCCCCC